TTGCGGTTTCAAAAGACACCTTCAAATTGAACGATAGCACAGACACTATTGAATTTTACCCATTGTATTTAGTTTTTACCCTTTTTATTTTTAAGAATTAATGACTGAAACAGCCGTTTTGCTATGACCTCAATCACTTTTATTTATTATTTTGAATACTATTTAATTTTATTTTTTGAATAGGCCAATTTATATTTGAGAAGCTCAATTTGAGACCACTTAATACATTGAAATATCATAAATATTGAAATATTTAAAAGTGTATTTCAAAATATTGAAATTATAAAAATTTATAATACTGAAATTGAGACAAATTAATATATTCAATGTGTTTTTTTGAAATAACTCTCAAATATTATTTTTTTGTTTATTTAATGATGAATAAATATGATTGCTTTAGTCAATCATAAAAACTAATTTAAGTTTAAAATAATGAAAGGATAATTCGATCGTTTTTTAAAATACAATTATTTTTGATGATTTGCAAGAATCTTTGAAAACAATATAATATAGGTTCTATTTTTGTAAAATTTATCCAAATCATGTATTACCTAAATTACGATTAAAACGATGAAAGAACCAAAAAGTGTGTTTTGTGTTTTGTTGTTGCGTGTTGGATGCGGAATCCTGTTATTTCCGAAATCGACAAAAAATTTGGCTATTGAATTTCCGAAATCGAAATTATATTAATGTTTTTAATATTCTTATATCAAAAGGATTAAAGTTCATTAAGAGTAAGGGTTTCGTTTTGCGAAAAAAACGTACAATACGCAATTTCGCTAAAAAAACATTTAGCTAGCAATTTCGACCTTTGACTCCACTCAAGACGTCACTTTTTTAATTTTGCGGTATCATATTTTTGGAAAATCTTTATGAATATTATATAAAAAGTCTCTTTAATATCTATATTGTTGCATGCTAAGTTCGGTCAACGATAGGAATTGAGCGGAAATTAATCGTCGAGGAAGTACGATTATGTAAAGTAAAAAATGTTGTGGGATTTTTAATATTGTATATAATTTTATAATAAAATTTTTGTGAGACATTTTAAGAAGCACATATAATTTTTTGAATTTAAAAATTAAAGTAGTGTTGAATGAATTTATTGATTAATTTAATACGGATATTTCTCAAAATTAATCAAAAATAGTTTTTCAGAGAACTTTTGAGATATCTTTTCAAAATGTCTTTTTGAAAATATATAAGTATTATATCAAATTGAAAAAAGGTATTTATCAAAATTCTAAATTCTTAATAAAAAATAACTTTTCAGAGTAATATGATTTTGAATGGTTGATTAATAAGTATAAAAATGTCTACGATTTTAAGGAAGGAATTGTTCCTTATGAGGTATACAGTATGAATATATACCTCATAAGGAACAATTCCCTCTTGATAGCTGGGAAACTTTCTCTGAATAACTTATCATTTGGACAGAAAAAGCGACACTTTACATGGCAAAAAATAGAGCCTTACTTTTGAGATACTTGAGATTGAAACTGAATCCTATGAGGCGGTGATCTTGAATCACTACCTCATAAGGTTCAGTTTCATATAAAATTTGTTGCAATTTGTTATTCTTTTGCAATTATTTCTTATAAGATTTTACATCTTTTAGCGGGGAATGTTTGTTATCATGTATATATTATAAATATCTACACGATAACGAACATTCCTCGCTAAATTGCTGAGAAACTTTGAGGAAATGTCGAACAATTTCCTCAAAGTTTCTCAGATTTATATAGATCACTAGAGTACCTAGGCACTGATTCTGGTTCAGTACCTAGGAGGCTCTAGTTCTCTAACAACTGATAAAATGTTTTTTAAATTTTTGGATATTGCTACCTGTGAAGCACTGACTTCAAGTCAGTACCTCACAGGTAGCAATTACATTGAAAGATGGGAGAAACTTTGTCCGAATTTAAACTATTCGACAAAGTTTCTCACATTTGTAGTGGAGATGGAAGGCTTTGAGGTATATTGTATTAATATATACCCCAAAGCCTTCCATCTCCACTTGAAAGTGTCCAAACTTTGGGTTAATACTTTGCAATTAACCCAAAGTTTAGACACTTTCTAGGAGGAATTGGAGGTAAGAGATATACATTCATATGGTATATCTCTTACCCTCCAATTCCTTCTTAAAATGGAGAAACTTTGTCCGAATGTTAAACTATTCGGACAAAGTTTCTCCCATTTTTTGAAGGAATTGGAGGCTATGAGATACTGATGCAATGTCAGTAACTCATGGCTTCCAATTCCTTCCTAAAACTCATAAAAGTGGACATTACATGCACATAAAATTTGACATGTAAAGTCCACTTTTTGTGAGCGGGGATTTGACTCCGTCAAATCCCCTTTTTCGTTTACGAGAAAGCCAAATTCTCTCAAAAAGTTAAGTAGGACCAATTTTTTATAAAAAAATCCAATTTCATTATGAATGTTAATTAATTTATATAATTATTGAATAAAAAATTTTCTTTGAGATTATGAAAAGTTCTTTGAAAAGTTATTTTTTCTCATTTTTAAATATTGTATTAGCCTATTTATTTATAATCCAAATTAAATAACTTTAAATTCAATATTTAAAGAATAATTTTGAAGGAATTGAGTTACTTCCCCCGACGATAAAATTGAGAGGTTTACATTTTGACCGAACTTAGCATGCAACAATATTTCATATTTTTATCGATTTTTAAAGTTTTTGCGAAAAGTATTCAATTATTTTTGCTATTTGGTCGGGTAAATGTCAGATTTGCGACATTTTCTGATATGATATTCAGATTCTACGTTGATAATAATGCTTATAGAACCCTCTTGCTATTGTGTCAAAATTGCGAAACCGATAGCAAAAATATCTCGCAATATCAAAATTGAGATATTGAGTGAATTATGCATTATAGAGATTAAAAATCTGATTTGTGAAAACATCTCATCAGTTTCTAGCTAATTCAAAAATCTTTACTATCTTATTCGATTAAAATGAAAAGGGAATAGTTTCATTATGCTTTAAATGACAGCCTTATAATATAATCATAGTTTTCGCTCAATATGCAGCTTTTTTTTGAAATCTATGGTCAATATCCTAAATACTGATTGCTTTGCATTCATATCTCTTACATTTTCTATACCCACATCACTATTCATTGCTATTCCTATCTTTTTCATTTTTGTTTGTTCCTCATAATTTCTCAAAAAACATGATAACTTGAGTTAGTATACAAGTCTTGGGTATGGTGGCACTGCGTTCCACCTTACCCAATACTTGTGAATTTGACACTTTACAAAACCGTTAACGTATATTTTACAACATGAACGCAAAAACTAACTTAACCTTAAATATTTACAAAGCCGCCAACAATTTCACCTCACTATCGTTCTCACTAACAACTTCACTAATGTTCTCATAAATTTTCCTCAATATCTTCATCATCAGTGTTAACCCTATTGTAGTCATACTTGAAGCCATAAACTTTCTCTAACTTCTTAACGTACAATTTACATAACTTACCTTCGTCATCGTATGGTTTAATGATATAACTATTTCTATCTTTATAAACAGTCAATGAAAAGTCAACTGGTCTCGGATGTATTTGAAAGAACATGTTATGCTCAGGAAGGAAGAATAAATGTTTAAATGTATGTTTGTTATATGTTTTGATTTGTATGAGTTGCTTTTGTTCTGTCATTACATCCAAATAAAATAAAAATAATTTTAAAAAATAAAATAAAAAATAAATGATATCACCACCCTCACACGTATGAAAACATAGCACAAAAATAAATTTAGGTGAAGTGGTGAGATCTCACCTCTTTTTTCACCTGTTTTTTCACCCTGTTGAATTCATTGCTTTATTCCTCACTGTCGTCTGCTTTCTCCAACTCTTCTAACTTCTTCTTAAGTTCAGCAATGTTGTCCTCATGAAGTTTAATCTTTCTCAAAATTCCTTCTTTATCTAATGGTTGCTTTATCTTTCTAAACTGAACTCTACCATCCTTCATAGTATGAATGTAAAAACCTTCTGGAATAATTCCTGATTTAATGTATTCTACCAAAAACTTTTGTTTCATTGCTTCAGTGACTTTAGTCGTCATTTTACTCTAAGGTGAAGCTAGCACAGCGATAATGGATTTCATGACTTTTTAGTATTTCATGCAATCTTAACAGATAGCCTTACAAGTACTTCCAGTGTCCCTAGCTGTCCCTCCTTTTTATATAACTCCATGACATTTATAATCTCGCGAAACTTAACAGGTAGCATAACAGATTAAAATCAGATGAGGTTTTGAACCAAAATTTCTAAGCAACGTTGTCAAGGATTTTGAGGAACTAGGGACAGAGTGTGGCAAAGTCCAAGATTTAATTTATCTTCATTTGTTTCATCAGCTATCTCATCTAATATGCCAATATTTTATTCATAACTCGTGGCAAACTCACTAACTTTCATTATGTTCATCTGCATGCTTCATCTGATAGAAAGTATGACTTTCATTAACTCTGTGAGATAATGAAAACTACTAGGGACAGAGACCATGGCAAAGTTTATGACTTTCATTATTTCCAGAACTTAATGAAAACTACTAGGGACAGAGACCATGGCAAAGTTTATGACTTTCATTATTTCCAGAACTTAATGAAAACTACTAGGGACAGAGACCATGGCAAAGTTCATGATTTAATTTATTCTCTCACTAACAACAAACACAAACTCCAACACTAACGACAAAAATAAATGTCCTCACTTCTTAACAAAGTAATATGTGCTTCTTACACCACCATAGCTCAAACGTTTCTTTTCAAACATCGATTGAAACTTATTTTGAGCCATTGGCTTTAGTCTCTTTTTCTTCAAATACGCCAAGAAATCTTCTTCACATCTTTTCACTTCATAGCCTTCTTTAAACTCCTCCTTGTTAAGTTCTATGAAATCCTTTATCTCATTCTTTGTTGCAATGGCTTCTTCACGAACGACATCATGAACTATTTCATCATTGCATTCATGTATGACCTCCTCACTGTTCTCATGAACTATTTCATCATTGCATTCATGTATGACCTCCTCACTGTTCTCATGAACTATTTCATCATTGCATTCATGTATGACCTCCTCACTGTTCTCATGAACTATTTCAACACTGTTCTCATGTATGACCTCCTCACTGTTCTCGTGAACTATTTCATCATTGTTCTCATGTATGACCTCCTCACTGTTCTCATGAACTATTTCATCACTGTTCTCATGAACGACCTCCTTACTGTCTTTCATAAGCGTTTCAAAGTCTCCTTTACTCATTACTTCAATCTCATGCTGTTCACAGTAGTACTTAAACTCACTGTATATGTCTTTGTTGTATGTTATATTGCTTCCCATGTACTCCATGAATTTTTCAAGCACTTCCTCATAATTCACTGTTTCTTTCTTTCCACGACCTTCTAATATCATACTTGCTTCGTAAATATAACTTCTTGCAGAACCGTCTCGCTTTCTACTTCTCTTCACAAATTCTCTCATCTTGCCACCAAATACATTTGAACTACATGCAAAGAATTCATTCTCCTTCGCAAATTCTTTATATCTTCTGTAGCACTCTGTACAATTCCATCCGGATACAAACTTTTCATAGAACTCCTCGTAAAACATTTGGTAAGGTGTTTTGTTCATTTCGATGAGTTCTTGTTTAGCCCTGGTGAATGGTATCTTCCTTACATCAAATTCACTTAAATCTTTCCTCATGAAGTACGTCAGTAAGTTTGAATAAAACTCTTCATTAAAACTTTCAATGAGATTTGAGAAATATTCGTAATTTCCTTTGTATCTGCTGCTTACGTCAATGACAACAAATCTTCTGTCGTCTTTGTCAATCTTTACTGAGTTGAAGTTGTTAGATATCATGATGATATTACAAACATTCTCTATCTTTCTTACTGGCTGACACTTCTGATTTAAGTCCAACTGAGTCTCTGTTACTATTGACTTTAGTGCGTCGTGGTTCATGACCTTAGACGTATCGCATGAGCTTAGTTCATTGCATACGATGAGCTTCATGTTCTCAATAGCAGCATTGAATCTACCAACCACATTCTCTATTGCCGTTATATTATTGTTGGCGTACTTGCTAATGAGCTCGCATAGAACATTACTAAGTACATTCTTACCAGTTCCTTGCTTTCCTATTAACAAAAGTACTGTTCCAGTCTTTCCACAAGGATTTTGAACGATGTAGGCGAACCAGTTCAAAACATACTCATAAAGCTCTTCATCCTCATTACATATGACATCGTGAACATGTTTCAAATATCCTTCAATAACGTTCTCATCTACTTCATTCAGTACCTCATACTCATATCCTCTGAAATAGCTGTAAATGTCATCTCTTTCGTCAAAGAATCTCATGCCTGACTTCATAAGATAGTTCTTGTTCTGACCCGCTTCATAAATCATCAGTGCGTTCACATCCTTCTCCTCAATACGTCCTACATAAACACTCTTCATGAGCTTATTGAATTCCTTGCTATCTACTGACACAAGTGTTGTTGTGTCTCGTATTCCATCATAATCTTTCACTAGATATGTCATACGTGCTCCGTCAATAACAACAACACATCTTCTTAAGTCATTTATAACACTAGCTATGTCAATACCGTCCTCACTCATGTACTTATTTCTCCTCAAGTCCTTTAGTGTGAAAGTGTCTCTAAGTTCTATTTCAAGCAATTCATTTACACATCCTTTGCAATACTTCTCTATAAAATATTTCTGTCGTTCTTTACTAAGTTTCTTAACAGCTCTGAAGAACCATGTGTTTTGACTCAAACATCCTTCACAACTTCTCTCATTCATTCCTAGTTCTTTCATGTCATTATCTTCAACCTCTATGGTCTCATTGACTAAGGTCAAAGGGTTCTTAGTCATTGCTGGTCTTATCTGAAACAATGTTTGTGCAACAGGTTTAACTAGTTCAGCAACGTCCTTCCTTAATATGAATAGCTGTTTCCACTCATCTTTGCTAACAGTTCTTTCATAACCACTGACAGTAATGATTTCATTTGCTGACCTTAGACACTTATGTTCTATCATTTGTATTGCTTTTGTGTAAGGCTTTCGTGAGCATAGGTTGTATATGTCATTCCTGCAATGTTCATTCATGCCAATAGTACTAAATCCTTTCTTTGCTGTTGAGTGCATAATATCCATTAGTTCCTGTGTTCGTATTGCTGTCTCATAAAATACAACAAGACCTTTGTCATCTATGACGTACTTACCGAAAACATTGCTTATATTCTTTAACCATGAAATAACATCCTCATTCATGCTGTCAAACATGAAGTAAGGTCTTACATACTCTTCACTTATAAGATACTCCACAAAGTACTTGTTAAGCTCTATGTCCTCGTGAGCGATTTCATTAGGTTTGATATTAGTTCCTTTTGTCATTGCTGTCATGTACTTCACTCTCATAGTTCCTTTCAATAGCGTAAAAATACTTCATTGTTTCATAACTGCTCTAAATTCTGTTCAAAATTCGTACAACATAACTTTTAACATTAGTGAAAGAACATGAGCGAAACAACAACATCTAACATTACAGAAGAAGTCAATGACAATGCCGATGAAAACATTACAGAAGGAGCTAGTGAAAATATTGACGAGTTCAGTGAGGAAGAAGATATTGAGGACGTCAATGAGAACGTTAGTGGGGAACAAACTCAATGGGAAACATTGAGAAATCATGAAGATTATGAGATTTGTACGACATATCCTTTTACTATTCGTCGAAAAAAAACAAACATATTAAGAGTGAATGCTTAAATAATCATGGTTATATTGAGCTTAGTTTAAACAACAAAACACATTTAAAGCATAGAATTATTGCAGAACAGTGGATTGAAAATCCAAACAATTTGAAAGAAATAGACCATATAAATCATGATAGAACGGACAACAGAATCTCAAACCTTCGTTGGTGTTCTAAATCTGAAAACAATAGAAATAAAAGCAAGTATGGCGATATAGTTTATGAGTTCGTTGATGAAATATCTGACGAAGCTGTTGAAATAACAGATTATGGTAAGCATTCGTTTGAGTTCTACTACTATGTTGAGAATGAGGACGCATTCTATTATTATACAGGTCTTAACTATCGAAAACTTCATATAAACTTTACAAAAACAGGTGCTGCTTATGTTTGTATGATAGATACAGAAAACAAGAGAGTAATCTTATGCATAAACAAATTCAAACGCTTGTACGGCTTCATGTAGGACAAACATTATTTTTCAACACTAACGCCAACACGTAGGACAAACATTCATGACTAACATTACTGTATAACATAAATGATTTGTCATGATTTAATCGTAAATGTTTTGTCATGATTTCATCGTAATGTTTTGTCATGATTTCATCGTAATGTTTTGTCAAGACTTCTTCATCGTAATGAGCGTAAATGATCCAAAAATATATTTTAGGTGAAGAGGTGAGATCTCACCTCTTTTCTCACCTCTTTTCTCACCTCATGAATTTTCATGACTTCTTCATCGTAAATGTTTTGTCAAGACTTCTTCATCGTAATGAGCGTAAATGATCCAAAAATATATTTTAGGTGAAGAGGTGAGATCTCACCTCTTTTCTCACCTCATGAATTTTCATGACTTCTTCATCGTACATGTTTTGTCAAGACTTCTTCATCGTAATGAGCGTAAATGTTTTGTCAAGACTTCTTCGTATATGTTTTGTCATGATTTAATCGTATATGTTTTGTCATGATTTAATCGTATATGTTTTGTCATGACTTCTTCGTAATGAACGTATATGTTTTGTCAAGACTTCTTCGTATATGTTTTGTCATGATTTAATCGTATATGTTTTGTCATGATTTAATCGTACATGTTTTGTCAAGACTTCTTCATCGTAATGAGCGTATATGTTTTGTGAAGAATATAGCAACCGCCTGAATTCAGACGGTTGCTTTTTATACAAAATTCACACAGGAAAATTCTTGAGTTTTGGTTGAAAGAATACGGTCAAGCCAAAAGTGGCTCGACCTCAAAACAAACATTTTATGAGCTTACTAAGGCATTTATGAATGAATTCAAAGGTATTTGCATACATCCTGACCTCGTTCATTTTGTTGCTGAATGGTGCTCTGTAAAGTATGCATTTTATGTCAAAGATATTATGGACTCCATAGATAAGAAAGTTCATGAGAAGTTAGATGAAGAAGAACTCGAAGATACAGTAGAGAATGCAAAACATTTTTGACGAAGTGAAGATCTTCACTTCGTCAAAATGTGATGCAAAAACAAGCATTTTATGAGCTTACTAAGGCATTTATGAATGAATTCAAAGGTATTTGCATACATCCTGACCTCGTTCATTTTGTTGTTGAATTCAGCAAAAATAATGTTTAGGGTAGATGGTTTTTAGGTGTCACTACGTCACCATGTCACCAGGTTAATTAACTTCTCTTAAAATTACTGACAACATGACATTTAGACAACAGTCCAGGAAATAAACTTCTTCGTAAATGTTTTGTCATGATTTAATCGTAAATGTTTTGTCATGATTTCATCGTATATGTTTTGTCAAGGTTTCTTCGTATATGTTTTGTCATGATTTAATCGTATATGTTTTTGTCATGATTTAATCGTATATGTTTTGTCAAACATGAACGTAAATGTTTTGTCAAACATGAACGTAAATGTTTTGTCATGATTTAATCGTAATGAGTGTAAATGATTTCATATAATTGCTTACCTCGGAAAACCGAGAGAAGAGATTCCATATGAAAATCGCAAGAATTTGGCTCCTGGTTTGAAATATTATTATGTTCATAGACTTCATCGTATATGTTTTGTCAAACATGAGCGTATATGTTTTGTCATGATTTCATCGTACATGTTTTGTCATGATTTCATCGTATATGTTTTGTCAAGATTTCATCGTAATGAGTGTAAATGAACCAAAAATAATGTTTACGTTCATGTTTGACAACACAGCAGGGGAAGGCATTTATGAATTATTTTCGAAGAACTGAAGGTGTCACTATGTCACCATGTGTCACTCGGTTAATTAACTTCTCTGAAAAAATGAGACAACATGACATTTAGACAACAACACAGGAGGAAGGCAGTTATGACTTCATCGTATATGTTTTGTCAAGACTTCTTCGTATATGTTTTGTCATGATTTAATCGTATATGTTTTGTCAAGACTTCTTCATCGTAATGAGCGTAAATGTTTTGTCATGATTTAATCGTAAATGTTTTGTCATGATTTCATCGTATATGTTTTGTCAAGGTTTCTTCGTATATGTTTTGTCATGATT